CTTGCCAGCTGACCCCGAAGGTCCGAGGCCGTGTTGAGATGGTAGGAAGCAAAGACCAACCCCCTGATTCGACGGACTTTGAAGCAAGCCCCTTCTGACAAAGGCTCGCGTGACTTATTTGTTTTGATGTTTGGTCTATTTGGTCGGCGCGGCATCTCGCGGCATCGTCAGAACGGGGCTTGGACCGAACCTAGGCGCCGACCAAATAGACCAAACATCAAAACAAATCAGCCACACGGGCCTTCGTCAGAGAAGCGCCCGGCTCGCCCGGGCCGGAACTGCATGGGCTTGTCCCGAACCTAAGGCCTAAGTATTTGATATGAACATGCCGCGAGTTCACCCCAGTGTTGGAGGGTCACTGACCCGAAACGACTAGCCAATTTGTACAGTTGGCGACTAGTCAGTGACTAGTCACCAGGTCAGGCCAACGGCTTGACTTTGCACAGGCCAAGGTAGCCGAGCGACTGTTCCCACGTCATTGGCATATCGCGAAAATTTAGTCCGAAGTTCTCCGAATGTGCGATAGCGCAACAAATAAAATAGCAAAAATAGGAACAATTCTAGAAATATTTGGGTACATATTGGAATCCCGAGGTAAGGGTCACGCCACAGCGGTGACCCGACTATTGCGACTTTCTGACTAGTCGCTGACTACTTAGTCACTGATGTGCACAACACTGAGTTCACCCCACAGGTCGTGCGTAAGGTTTACACGTGCTCCTTCCATATCGGTGCCAGTTTCGCCCCAAAACCACCCATTCGTTTCAAAGGCGAGAAACCAAAGGTCCCGTTTCCCTGAGATGGAATACTAGGCTCCTGGCAAAATAAACTTGAAATGCTGTCATGTTCAAAGGCGGTCCAGACTAAAGACTGTGGGGAAGACTTTTTCTTCCACGTCAACATGTGTGTGCCTCATGCGAACACTGAACATAGGCTGATCTCACGCTTGCAGACCAGATGAAAAATAAGTTGGTAACTACAATTGTCGTCTGTTTGTGGTCGTGCAGAATTCATGCCTCGTAGGGCGTATCCCTTGGCATTGCTGATGGTATAACTGGCTGGCTCGAGAGGGGTGGACCCAGCACATTCATGATTTTATTACAGGCGGATGTCGAATAATGACCGCGACTCCAGTTTTCTCTCAAGCCCTCATGTTTCATTGTCATTGATATTCCCGCAGTGCATCGGCCGGAGAGCCAGAGGTGGACCCTATACTGGATTACGTGGAGCAGGAGGAGGTGGAAGGCTGCGAATTGACGCCATACGAGTGTATGGACGTGCACCCAGTTTTTTCCCTCCAAAATAATGGGTCTCTCTGAATGTTGTTCTTCACAACTGGCGTATGGTGGAGTACTACGAGAAAAATTGGTTGAGGCTGGTACGTTTGTTTCTTTACCCTGGCGCTAAGTATTCAGTAACAGCAAGTAAAGGGTCAAGCACAGTGTGTATCATCACCTTGAACTCAGTCAATGGCCTACTAAAGGCAACCAAGTAAGTAGATGCTTCTTTTCGTGTATTCATCATCTGAAGTATCCAGCCTAGGCGATTCTGGTTTCTCGATATTACGAGGCGGCTCAGTCCTATACAGTCAGCCCGTTCAGACCCACTTCTTCAATTGCCCCAAGTCTGCCCCGCCCTGGCCATCCTCCATCTTTTGTTGATGTAAGACAATGCACAGACAATTAACCAAATTACCCCCGCCTTCCGGTAAGAGGTTCACTTGTGCCTGTGTCGATTCCCCCGGGAAACAGAAACGTACCAGACACAGCTCTGCAACGGGGATATCATCGTTGCATATGTGTGTTGTGTTCTTTTTTCCGTCTTGGTTGGACAATTTACGACTCTGTTTCCTTGGATTACCTCACACAGACCGATGGCCTGACAGATAATGTGTTCCCGCATGAAATGGTGGAGATATGCTCCCCAGATCCAGACACGAGCAACTCAGATGACGCGCAGGCACAGTCCATGGCGGACCATCTGGTCATACACGCCCGGGCCCCAAGAGTGCATGGTGGCCAAGTCACGCATCAGTCCTTTCGAACGTGCACCTTGTTTTTTCTTTCATCCCAAGTTCTCGTGTTGATTTGGACCGCAGGGCAAGCGGCGCAAGAGGGGATGTTTTTCCCAGGCAGTGTATGTCCCCTTTGATGGATTTCCATTATATCAGTGCTGACCCGAGCTGCCTCAGAAACCAGACGAGTTGAGTAGCTTGTTCGTCACTTTGATGTGCTGCTGAGATTGACTGAATTGCAGTGTCACGGTGGTAGTTGCCTTGGTTCACGAGACTGAAGTGTGAGACTAGACGCTTTCCGTGGAATTTATTCGTGCATTGTAGCTATACATCCTGTAATTTTGTAAGGCTTGAACGTTGAAGTCTTAATCTTTTGAGTTTGGTGAGGCTACTCTCAAGTTGTAATTGCTCAAGTTTCATCGCATATGTGATATTTCGCGGGTTTTACAGGTATTTTTATTTGTACAGGTTTGGCGCAAGTATAGGAGGTGGTCCGTGAGCCACAACTGTCCATGAGCAGTAAAGTAAAGGAAAAGAGAAAAAAGTAAAGTTCATATCAAGCCAAGGGTCCGTATCAAGCAAAAAGGCCGTATCAAGCAAGGAGGGAGAAGAATCAGAACAGCGTCTTAAGCCGTCTGGCCGCGAATTGAATCCGGATTTGGGCCCTGTGCACCTTCAACTTCAGAAATCTGTCCTTGCCATAGATGAGAAGATCCATCCTCGTCTCCTCGCTCTCAATAACCTCGTCCAGGACCGCCACAATCGCTGGGGCCCAGTATCGCCCCGTTGAGTGACTGGAAATTTGGTGACCCCGCTATGGTGATAGGCGACAACATGTGCGGGGACTGAACCTGCATCAGGCCCGCCAGCGGAGCTCGACAACATAGACCGCAGCGCCAGCGTGGTCATTGACGACACAGACACACCAACACCATGATATTTGCTCGAAGAGCCTGGGTGAAGGTGGGGAGGGGAGGTGGTGGTGGTAGTGTGTCTGTTGGTCTGCTTGGGTGTCTCTGCTGCACTCGCCATCTGCGTATGAGCGCTTGTGTGCTCTGGGGACCGGCTTCGGGCACCTTTTTGGGTGGGGATGGGGTGTTCTGCGATGGAGTGGAGCACGCGAGCTGTGTGATTTTTGTCCGCTTAAACTGCATTTTTGTTTTTGTTTCCACTGTCAGTCGCAGGCGACCCGGGTGTCGGATATGAGGCTGCTTCTCCAACCAATGTGGCAAAATCCGGTAATCCTTTGCTAACGGGTGACACGAGGGTATCCAGCGGAGGGGACGCACCGCAAGAGCAAGGACTTGGGCGGCCGCACCCCACCCCATCTTAGCCACAGCACTGTCGTGTTCCAAGTCGTCGCGTGCTCTTCGACAATATATCTGGTCTGGCGTCTCGTGAGTACGCCTCTCATGGTTGTTCTGTGAGTTAACAACTAGTGCAGTCAAGTTGGTCATTGCAGATGCTGATGACTACTTCAGAATGTTAGCGCTTGATTACTGCATCCCCTTCGCCACACGCAATGGGCTCCTCGGTGCCCCAGATCCATCCAATCGCCCCAGGTGTCCAATCCCAAATTTGTGGTTGTAAACCTCCTGGATGGTTACCCGGAATACAGCATCGAAGAACTCCGGGGCTGGAATGGCATGTTGGACGGCAGCCTCACAAGGGGTCACATTGAGCCACTGTGTGCGAACAGATATCTCGTGTTCATATTACAGATTGCCAGGGGATATGACGAGGAATTGTGGTACATGCCCGTTTGCCCCTGCCAGGTAGTACTCAGGAAGAGCCAGAAGCTGAGAGAGATATAGTTGGTAGGAAATATAATTGACAAGCTTTGCACGTGCAAATTACAATTTGATCCGATAAAGATGCATGGACGAGTACTGCCATGCACAGCACTGGCCTTTTAGCCTAGTCAATTCGATCAACTCAGCCTCTTGCGCATTGCGCAAGGCCTTGTACTTCACCATAACTTCCGCTCCAATGCGCAGGCCTATCGAAAATCTTGGACTGCCAACGTCAGTTAACCCGAGATGACAGGAAAAGGGCGAAAAAGGCATCGGCGACGGGTCCTGCTCGTACGGCCTCGAAGACGGCGACGACATCCTCATGTCCCACTGGAACGGCACCATCATCGGCCCAGGCCACACCGTACATGAGAACCGCATCTACAGCTTGAAGATTACGTGCGGCGACCAATACCCCGACCGGCCCCCGACCGTGCAGGTCCGTGCCGCTGCGTGCTCACACCCACGCTGACGCTCACCCTAACGTGTTCGCCCGCCCACAGTTCCTCTCCCGCGTCAACCTCCCCTTCGTCTCCCAAACCGACGGCATGGTCGACCTCGCAAAGCTCCCCGTCCTCGCACACTGGACACACCGCAGCAGCCTCGAGCTCATGTTGGTCGAGATCTGCAAGTGCGTCCACGCGCCTGTCCTGCCTTTATTTATTTCATCTTTGCGTTCTTCTTTTCACCTTTCCGTTCCTTTCCTCCACATCTTTCCTAGGCTCCACATTTCATTCTGTATCTTTGCCTTCGCATGTCTTCCTTTGCCTTGTTTTTGTTTTTGTTACCACCCACTAACGCACACACAGAGAAATGGCCACCCAGGCAAACCGCAAGCTCCCCCAGCCCCCGAGGGCAGCATGTTCTAGACCCCCCTCTCCTCTCCTCGTGCGTGGGTGCGTTTGCGTTGGGCGTTCGCTTTCGCGTCAATGGGCGTGGGTGTGGGTAGGGTGTGGTGCGAAGAGGGTACGAAGGAATGCTGGGAACACAAGAGGAGAAGGGGAGGTGTACGATAGGATAGACTCTGGCGGCAGTGTGGTGGTGTATTATACAATGCGACGAACTCACTCACTCACGACGAACTCTGTACATGGCTCGTCAAATCTCGAACCCATTTCCCTTCCTTTCCTCGGACGCAATGAAGCGCAACAGTGAACCGGGCGCAGGCCAAAAAAGCCTTCGAGACCTCTATACGCCCCAAGCGGGAGTCGAACCCACCTCTGCCCGAAATACTATGTAATGGATTACACTGACGTCGTTGAATATGATCAGGCCGGTCTCCCGCTGACCCATTGGAGCTTGGTGGCTAGGTTGAGATGTACGATAGGATAGACTCTAAATCTCGAATCAACACTTCCTTTCCTTTCCTTTCCTTTCCTTTCCTTCCACCGCATCAAACCGTACGCGAACCGCCCGGGGCAAAAAGATTTCAACGAAAAGAAACTCAAAACCAACAGACGCTCCAAGCCGGAACCGAACCCACGTTTACGTCGAAAACAGCCAAGGACATGGGTGAAATTTCGAAACCGGTCTACCACTGACCCATTAGAGCTTGATGTTTTGATGGAGATGTACCATAGGATAGACTCTAGCGGTGTGGTGCATTATAATGCGACGAATGAACTCACGACAGACGACCAACTCTGTACTGTACATACATACATATCTTCTCAAATCTCGAACCCACCTTTCCCTTCCTTTCCTTTCCTCGAACGCAACGACACTTCTGTCCTTTCCTTTCCTTTCCTCCCATCCACCGCAACGAACCGTACGAGCCGTACGAGCGCCCGGGCCAAAAAGCAAACCATAGCCAGTCCACGCTGCAAGCGGGAATCGAACCCACGTCTGTCTCGAAAACATTCACGAACCTAGTGAACTTACGAGACCAGTCTACCACTGACCCATTGGAGCTTACATACCTACTGTGGATATCTGGTCTCATGTGTACTGGACCCAAGTTCTTAAGTTAAATTATTAAAGCCAAGACTAAGCACTCTTCAAGTAACCTACTTATAAATCCCACCTCAGTGATCAGTGCGAACATAAACAAATCTACATACATAACGAGGTCCATCAACGAAATTCCACGATTGAATCCATCCATCCATTACCAAAACAAAAATCGAAAAATGAGATGTATGCTCCAAGCGAGAGTCGAACCCACATCTGCCTGCACCATGTGAAATACAGACTAAAAGCCTCAGGCCGGTCCACCATTGACCCATCGGAGCTGGATTACATGCATTCATTCCCATAAATAGTATACAGCTTCCATCCAAATGTTTCTCACTGGCTTCAAAGTTCATCAGGCTGGTCTGCCACTGCAGTGACCCATTGGCTTGGACTCATTAGCGGGATTCAAACCCAGGGCCACATCTGCCTGCCAAGTTTGAGATACTTCAGGCCAGTCTACTACTGACCCATCAGAGCTTCTCCATACCTGTAACTGACAGCCTCCTCCCTCCCAACTTCTGAAGCTTAAGCCTACTTCCCGCAACTGGATCAGCACCCAATTGAGGGGAAGGTACACATATGTAGGTGTACACATGGACTATGGCCCACTCAAAAAAAAAGAAAATGCCAACAGAGCTAAGTAATACATGCTCCAAATGGGAGTTGAACCCACGTGAAACTATCCGAGCCCAACTTGAGTCCTGGGTCCAACCAATTTTTTACTCAAGTCTTGAACTTAAGTCGCACTGCGACTCAAATCATTTTCTGATGTTTCACGCGGGCACGCGCTGGGCACGTCTGCTTTCAACTCAAGTTGTGCCGACAATTCAAGTCCGCAAGGTGACTCAAGTTAGCATGTTGACTTGAGCTACAAAAGATATATATTCCATCTGTAAATGGCAAATGAAATATGTCTCAAGTCCTGTCCCAAACGCAAGTCCCCAACACTCAAGTTGTCACAGAGAGGAAGAAGAGAAAAAGTGAGGATGAAAGAGGAACACCCCTGCACATGTATTGTGACCTGCCTCAATCAAACAATGACAAAAAACTCGGAAACTGCACTGTGTGATGATTGGTGAAAATGTGGAGAATATGTGGGTGGCACACACACCGCAATATCGGACGGACAATTGGAGAGACAGTGAACAACAGCAGGAAGTCTGTGACGACACGGGAGGCAGCTATTTTGGATTTCCAATAGAGAGTTTGCGCAGAAGCCATATGAGCGACGTTATGGCTTTTGGGCCGTAGATCGCGACTTTGGTCCCCACCCATCAAACTCTTTATGGTAAATCTTGCACGTGACGTCCCGAGCCTCCACAAGCACTCCGGTGTCGTGATTTTCAACTTCAAGTGGAACTTCAGTTTAGTGCGCATTTGTGGCCTGATTGAAAGCTTCAAATAGTTTGTCGTGGAATTCATTCAATAAATGGATTGGCAGGGACAGAACTACAGAGCATCACAACTTTACATGATCAGTACTAAGTACTGGTGGCGTGTCTTGAGGGGAGACAAAGGGCACGCAACAGAACGTGTCAGGGCGCGTCAAAGCGTGCCAGTCACAGATTTTAGTGTGATATGCTTAAGATGCGAGCCAATGTAGGCCCGGAAGGGCCTGCCCGTGGGTGCAACGCAGGTGGCATGGGTTTCTACTCACCACCTGAGTTGAGCAAATAAAAGGTGCTGGGCTATCCAGAGTAGGTTAGGGAGGAAGAAATAGATAGGAAGGTGAGCAATATCCTGGATGCGAAAATGCCGGTGGAGGAAGAGAACACACGGCGATGGACAAACAACTCCCCACAAGTCTCCGGATCTCCGGAGCTCACGTGCAACCGTTACTATATAGGGAAACTGATCGTGGGGACCAATCTCAAAAGCTTTGGGCCGTGCACGTCATATGGCTCCGCACGCCAAAATATGATGCAAATGCAGTGCAAATGGCTTTTGGAGCCATTTGCCTGCCAAATTTGCGCACGGTCTGAAACCATGATGTGGGTCATATGGCTAGTGTGCAAACAGGTTAATAGGAAGCCTGTGGTGGCATCATGGCAATGCCACTCTATGAATGAGCCAATAATTGTGTTTTGACCTGGAGGGGAAGGGGATTATCAAAATAATGACAGAGGAAACGAGTAACTGAATGTGCACTGGTAGTTAATACAGCTTCAGCGATGAAAGCTAAGAGAGACCAAAGACTAAAGTCAGGGTCTAAGGGATGCAATGGACTTCAAAGAATGCACGCACAGATTCCGGGTATGCACTTGCCCAAAAGAGGTGGACAAGGCAAGAGCGTTGATGCTTGCACCATCGAGCGATGTCATCTTGGTAAGGTGGTGGCAGGAAGAAAGAGGCTTTGGAGAACAGTGGATCAATCAATCATCAGTGTAAGTTGTGTGATCATCAAACATTCTTTTCTTTCATCTCTCATCCCCCCTTTCTGCCAGCTGCTCAATTACCAGCGTGACGCCCTCCGCACAAGTCAGATGGCGACTCAAGTCGAGCCGTCGAGCCATCGTGGGACTTGATTAGGAGACACAAGTCGAGAACCTGATCTCACTTGAGTTGGATCTCACGCTGACTGACTTAAGTCACTTGAGTATCACTCTAGTTGCGACAAGGACATGAGTCAAGGGATGACTCAAGTATTTTACATTTTTTGTGCTGTATAAAATATTATCTCTCCGACTTGAGTGCCAACTCGAGTCATTCACTTGAGCAAAAAACCGGTCCAACCGCCCTTGACTTAAGTGGGACTCAGATATTAGCTGGACCCACATCTGCCTGAAAATATGTTCCATCCGACCTTCAAATCAACCAGGCGGGTCTAGACCCACTAGAGCGTCATCCCTGGGCTAGACTGATGATATGGTGGTGGTGGTGTATTATATGAACGAACTCCACTAGGCACTTCCTTTCAACACATTGTCACTTCTGTCCTTTTCCATTCGCACGCGCCTTTGTGTATGTATGTGTTGAACAAAAAACACTGAAACATATGCATGACCAAAAGCAGACATACCACATGTACGCTCCAAGCAGGATTCGAACAAATGTCTGCCTGCTGCACAGAGGAACCTTTAGAAATTAGCAGGCTAGTCTACCACTGACCCATTGGAGCTTCTCCCATCAAGGTCATGAGGATGCATATGATATGTCACCTCCAATTTGCCACCACTCAGTTCTCGATTTCAGATCTCAGGACCTGTGCATGAACACACAGCCCTTTCGCAGGGATCCCTAAACATGCCTGAGCATAAATCAAGGACTTGTGTAAGTGAAAAAGTATGCGCCGATCGCGCCCCCTCTAAAAACAAAAAGGCAGTACATACAGGCCAAGCAGGAATCAAACTCACATCTGCCCGAAAATCCACGATGTACAAGAAGTTTACCAGGCCGGTCTACCGTCGACCCATTGGAGCTTCTGCACCCTTGAATGGTCGGGGAGGATATGACAGGTGAACTCTGACATCCTCCCTGCCCACTTCCCAACTCCTGCCACTCGGTTCTTGGATCACGGGGAACCGTAACTATGTATGCAGACAAATCAAATAAGTGAAAAGTATACATCAACTGCGGCTCGCCTCACCCCCCACAAAAAAAAGAGCAGCGCACAAGCTACACTCTGAGTGAGAATCAACCCCACATATGTCTCTGTAAATTGCATGGAAGAATACCCCAGCTTGAAGTTGGTCTACCATTGATCAATTGGAGCTTCAAATTCCATGGTCCAAGTGTGGATGTGGACTAGCCGAATGACAAGGACGCATGCACTCGCCAGTCTTCAAGTTATAACCTCAACTCGGCACCGAGCTCAGTGAGCGGTGAGCAACCAACAAGCTATGCACCAGCACCCCCAAGAAGAACTGAAAAAAGGGTGAAGATCTTCATTATGCTCCACGTGGGAGTCGAACCCGCCTCTGCTGTTTCCTCCAGGTGAAATTAACAGGCTGGTCTATGGCTGACACATTGGAGCTTGTCATGGGCACTGGAACACCACCTTCTTTTCTACCCTAATAATCAAGCAAGCATATCTCCTCCATCAAGCAAAGTTGGTTGTTTGAACCAACACTAAATGAGGGCAGTACAACATAGATAGTGTTAATGGCACCAACAGACATAAAAAGAGAGAGAGAGAGAGAAGCCTCCAAAACGACAAGCTCCCCGTGACTGATGCTCCAAGTGGGATTTGAACCCACATCTGCCCGAAAATCTGGTCAACGTTCAACTCTAAATAACCAAGGCCAGTGTAGCGTTGACCCATTTCTAACCCTTCAAATTGTCGGGGAGTAGATGTTTATAAAGTACAGGACTTGGTCCATCCTTATACTTACACCCAAATTGAATGTACCCGAGTACGCTCAATGGCATTGAAGCAGCAAAAACACCTTATTCTATTCTTACATCTCTTCCAACGGGCATGCGAAGTTTGTTTGAAAAAATGCTACTATTACTACTACAACATGAAAACAAAAACAGCAAATCACAAGAAGGATTCAACTCGTTAGCTTCAAACGTTCCAAGTGGGCTTCGACCTCACATCTACCTGGGAAATTGTTGTACCACTCCACTCTACCAAGCCAGTCTCATGGGTGGTGTACATACTATAGGTGCCGACTTGTCTTGCAATTTCTTTCGACTGCAACGATTCAGAATAGCCAAGTACAGGAGATGAACCCATGAAACAAAAATGCAACCGGAAATTTTGAAACATTGACAGAATGAGAATGGTGATTGTTACTCGGTTTCATTCACGTAGTAATGAACAGTGATTTTCGTCCATCTAATAACTAAATGCAAGAATTCCCCTGCAGGAAGTTGTCTTTCAGTTCCTAAGAGCTGTATGCAGTCACATCCTGACATGTATAGATTGAACATTTGATCAAGATCGGTCTGAATCCCGATCCATTCCTTCGAGTTAGTTCAAGCTGCATATAAGGATATATATTATTTTGCGAGGTCACTCTACTCCCATCGACCCTTTTCTCAACTACAATATACATGTGATACCTGCTAGTCCCCACTGAATTGACAACGTGGCCTCGTCTCAGAGCGAAAAAAGGCTTTCTGCCAATTCAGAACAAACTTGAACTTGAACATCAGCCAAGACGCACATTGCAAACCCTCTGGTTCAATTTTTCGGCCGATTGACCTGGACAAAAAATTCTCAACGTACCATACTAATAAAGGGCTGAACCGAAAAGCTTCTAAGCCTGACAAGCTTTTGTTTACTCAGAGTGTGCCATCGCAAAAGTAATATTAGAGAGTTTGTGATAGCCACCTGTAGCAACCTAGGTGGCTTCCGAGGCATGTGGAGCGGGGTGGCTCCATTGCAGCCAGGTGGCTTTTCAAATGACATCACTGTTGGTTCTGTCAGTGTGAATAGATCCCTCAGGTTCATATCCTTTGGTGAAAGACATGCAAAAATGCTTGAGAGGCAAGAACAGGCAGGAATGCACACATATAAGCCTGGCAATGGAGAATTCAGCATCTCCTGGCCCTCCAGAGGAGAAGGAGACAGCAATGATGACAAGGGGGCTAAGGACAACAGCATTGAGGAAGAAAACAATTGAAAGGAACACAGGGTTACAATGGGACAAGCCACCTAGAAAAGCCACCTGGAGCTGGAGCCACCCCGCTCCACATGCCTTGGTAGCCACCCGGGTGGATCTGCACAAACTCTCTATTAATAGGCTATTATCTGAGACTGGGTATCCGGCCACCTTAGCATAATTAAGCTTAATTCTGCCCAATGAGACCGGTAAGTATGGGTTGATGGGCACTGCACGAAAGGTATGCATCCTGAGAGTGAGTTCAGATATTTTCCACGAATTTACGTGATGGTTCCATACCTCAGGGAATTTTCTTTTCGGCGGTGTCCCAAAGGGGCAATAAACGGCCTAGCCGGCCACCCGGCCTTTTCGCACATTTACACTGGTTCCTTTCACCCCACTGTCGCCCAAATGACTCAATAGATGGAACTTTACAATCCTATGCACTCAAAGTGTACATATGAGCTATATGAGGACAACAAAAATTTCCCTTTCAAGCTGACTTGAACGGGTGAGAGAGTGGTCTGGACGGAATGTTGCCTCTGGCAGGGGAAAGAACCTATTGAGTGCCTGAGAGAAGGTACAAAAAACTCAATAAGATGTATTTAAATATACCCATGATAATAGGATATCTCCAGCACACCCATAAACCTTCCAAAAAAATCCATCTTTCCATGCTAGTGAAATTGTGTGGTTCAAGGTAGCAGCTGGCTGTGAAGGGGAAGTTGGAAAGCTAAAATCCAAATGATTGTGGGAGAATTCTAGGATGGTTGTGTCGAATACATACCCCAAATACTCTGCCCGTTGAAAACACGGGTAGATCACTAGAGGGGTGACCGGATTTCGTTGCCTCAAATCTGGTTGAGATGTTCTTGACGGGTTCATGAGGCGAAGGGAAGGTTTATTCATCCATATTATGCGGAGAAACACTTACCCAGAAACCAGGGGTCAAAACGAGCCCAAAAACTTGGAAATCGTCGAAGAATTGGTCGAGAAAAGAGCAAAAGACGAACGCGAGGGCTGATCGGAGATAAGAAATGATGTTCACACGTCGCCACCTTGACAGAAAACCTCCCACAGTTTTTGATAGTCACATCACTTCGGCTCAAATTTTGACATAGTACAGTGTCCTCGAAGGTCGGGCTCCATCCTACAAGGGCCGAATCCTAGGTTTTACCATCCCATAGCTTTCTATTATCCAAGTGGCCGGTTACCTAGTGTGGCCGGGAAGGCAGTCGCAGATAATACTATCTCGGGCATCGCAATGATCCCTTTCAAAAATATTCCTTAAGTTCTGCCGATAAACATTGGCAAAAGGGGTGTTCATCCACATGCATATGAGCTGGATTCATTTTTTGCAAGCCAATCGTCGGATTTACGCGGCAACAAGGGTTGATGTAGCTAGCTACTCAACGATTGTTTGGCCATATCACTCGAAAGTTGAAACACTGATATCTGCGAAGGGGTTTCACTCATGGTTACAATCTAACCCATCCAGTTTGTCCTGCCTAGTCCATTTTTTTGTCTGGGGAAGGCATCCGAGATGGCGGATGAATAGGCGAAGAAGTCTAAGTGGATTTACTGGTCAAGTCCTCTGAACAACTCAATACGACAGTATACAAAAATATAAGTTGATGCTTGGCGGCACGCACAGGCAAAAATATCCTTGAAAATGCGGCTACATACGTGGTGACGGACTCCTATGAGATTTGAGTCATCCTCCAGACAGGCGAGTTCAATCCGATAGCATCGTTTCGCGGAGAAATGTGACCCTAGTCCGCGCTTGGTCACAAACATTGCTGTGTGCAGAGGGTATCTCGACGGATGGGAAGATTATTTCCCAACGGAACCGAGGATGAGGATGATGACGGTCTGCATCCATGCATAGATCATCCTTGGATGGATCTGTATTACGACCCAAAAATGATCTTGTTGGGTTGACCTTCTTCTGAATTGCGACTCGAATTAGACCTTCCGAACGATGTGTGATGAAAACCAAGTTCAAACGTACCTCGGACATCATCAACAGGCCAGTGGGGGACGAGAGGAAAAGGTAGCTCAACTCGCCCATGCCTCAGGGACACTGATTCTTCAGCGTGTTGCCTCGCGTAATATGTGCGAGCGCCTCATCCTCGGACGGCGCATTGTTCGCATTCTGCGCTACCGATTTTTTCATCTACAATATTATACAGCATGGTCAGTTTGGTGAGAACTTTAACAAGCAACAGTGGGACGCACCGGTGCGATGTACGCTGGCGGCAGTGGTGCAATCGTTGTGATCGCACCCTCTGCGAGCTTCTCGACCGACTCCCCGAAGCTCTTAGCCTCGTCCGATTCCTTTATCTAAATGAGAAATTAGTTTTAATAAGCCAATATCATTTGAAGATGCGTACCGGCTGAGAAGCCTTCTCATGTTGCTCGCGGGCAGCCTCGTTCCCGAGATAAGCCACAGCGAGGAACGCACATATGAGAAGGGCGCAGGCGAGGTACCACGCCCAAAATGGGATGTTCGGTGACAGGTGCCCATTTTCTGAGGCGGTCAATGACGCAGTCGGCGCGGCAATGGCGG